CCCAACCTTCCTTCCGAGGAGTGGCTGGTGGGTTTGAACCGCCAGCCGTCCGGTTAGCAGGCAAGTGTCTTAGCCACTATGCTACCAGAGCTCCCCTTCTGTAAACCTAAACTCTGAAAAATAAACTGTACATAATTTAAAAAAAGAGAGAGTTTTAAATACTGTTGAATCCATTTTTGACTTAAATGACCCCATGTGACGGAACTACCCTAAAGAGTTTTCTAGGCTGTAATTTTTTTTTCATTATTGTGATTTGGGGAAAGTTTACAGAGCAAATTCATCTTCCATACAGCAGTTCACATATACTTTGTCTCATGACATTGACTGTAATTTCCCACAATGCAACAGCTCCCCTCCCACTTCCTCCCCATAGCCACCTCTTCCCTGTATCCTTCCCTCCCATACACTTCTGCCCCCCAAGCTGTCTCCCTGTACATACACAACCCTTCTATTCTCCCATGACTGAGCTCTCCAAGGAATATATCTACCTAATGTGAATGTCCATAGGGTGTAATCTTTATAAGAGCAGATAGCCAGGTCTTTCTTCTACAGAGCCACTGGGGGGGGGGATGTCCTAACTGCCAACCTTTTGGTTAGCAGCCGAGCACTTTACTGTTGTGCCACCAGGGCTCCTCTGTAGACAATACTGTACAGCAAAAAAAAAGAAGAAGAACAATGAGCTTTCAGTCAGTATAAGCAATAACTTGGATAACTCACAGATATTATGCTGAATGAAAGAAACCAGACACAAAAACTTAAATGATTCCATTTATACAAACTCAAAGAATAAACAAAACTAATCTATGGTGAAAGGAGCTCTGGTAGCATAGTGCCTAAGGCACTTGACTACTAATCAGAAGGCTAGCGGTTCAAACCCACCAGCCACTCCTCAGAAGGAAGGAAGATGGGGCAATCTACTTCCATAGTGACACTGCCTTGGAAACCCAGGAGGGGTCGCTATGAGTCGGGTCCAACTCAACGGCATGTAACAACAACAACAATCTATAGTGAAAGGAGCTCTGGTGGCATAATGACTAAGGCATTTAACTGCTAACCAGAAGGTCGGCAGTTCAAACCCACCAGCCACTCCACAGAAGGAAGATTGGGCAATCTGCTTCCATGAAAATTTACCACCTCAAAAACCCAAAGGGGGTCGCTATGAGTCACAATCAACTCAATGGCAGTGAGTTTGGTTTTTTTGGTTTTATCTATGGTGATAGGAGTCAGAATGAATAGTGGTCACCTCTATGAATAGTGGCAGTACAGAGCAGGCAGGGTCCCTTAACAGGGTGCAGGAAGGGTTCTATGTCAAGATCCAGTAGTATTCACAGGAGTATCTATATATATTAAAATTCATCAGGCTTTATACTTAAGATCAATGCCTTTACATACTTGATGTACTTTAATACACACATATTATATCTCAATTTAAAAAAATAACCTCT